AGGTTGGATCCAGCCAGCCCCGAATTCAGTTACTGGCACTTGCCAGCACCAGCTGTTTCAGAGGGAAGTGCAAGATATTTAGAGATCACAGGAAAGGAGGCCTGGAAGGGGTCTCACAAGGTCACCTAGTCCTGCAGGGATCGACAACAGCCACTTCCATGTAGTGATCCCTAGTAATGTCTCTGATGGCCAGGAGCTCCTGAATCGACAAAAATGCCAAAGTGGACAAAGGTATGGACACCGGTTTTGTCATACAAAAGAGAGAAAGAAAAAAATCTAGCCCTGCCAAGCAGGTCTTTACACTGTGTAGACCTTGACTCTAATGCTACCAATGCCATTTTCCAGGATCTTTTGTTCCCCCTACACCGTCGTGTCTGCTTTCCTATTCAAAATATTAGTTCTCTGGGGCAGAGACTAGCCCAGCAGGACCTCAACTAAAGATAAGCTTGTAGAGACTAATGCAATACAGATAACAAGCAAAAAGCTCTTCCCGTTGTATAGCGGTTGGTGATACAGCTATCCACACCCGTGTGGCAAGGGCTGGAAGTTAACACTGGATAAGTCTGGTAAGGTGCAATGTTTTAGCAGCGATTGTCATTAGTCATTGGAATGATTTTCCCCAAAGGATGGGGTGGGGTTCCTGAAAATGGGATCCCTTTCTACAAGAGGCCACAAAAGTATAGGCTGGGGGCAAAAATTAGGAGATTAGTTTGGGCCTGTGATATGGAAGTGGTCAGACACTAGAGACAGCAGCTGCTCCTGCCAACTGATTTAACCTGTGAGATCCAACACCAAAAGAAACATCGAATCATTGAAAAATAAGGGCTGGAAGGGACCTCAGGAGGTCACATCTAGTCCAACCTCCTGCTCAAAGCAGGACCATCCCCAACTACATCATCCCAGCCAAGGCTTTGTCTAGCCAGGTCTTTAAAACCTCCAAGGATGGAGACAGACAAACATGGTCCTCAGCATTTATTTTGACCAACTCAAAGCTCCTCATGCCTCTTGATCACCTTCCATTAAGGTTCTCAAAGAGCTTCACACAGGAATCCTGACCCAAAACCTACAACCACCCTACTAATAGACGAGGAAAATGAAGCACGTGAAAAGTGAAGTAACTTAACCCAACGCCCCCCACCCCGAAAACAGAGAGAGTCTGTCACAAAACCAGGAAGAAACCCAAGAGTTTCTGACCACACTTCTCCAGCTGGTATGAAACCATCTGTGCAAGACAATTTTCTTATATATAATAGCAAGCAATTTAATGGTCCATCAACAGAGAGAGCTAGGCAGCCCCCAGGCTGGTTTAAATGGATGTAGCAGACTTGGATGAAGGAACTCTGATTTACAACAGCTGCAGATGTGGTTCAGGGTCTATACACAGCCCGATCAGTTGCTGGAGAAGACCTCTCTCACGTACAACGGATAACCCATAAGCTTCTTCTTAGAGCTACCTTCTATTTAGGCTCACTGCCCACTGAAGGGGAACAGGCCAAGTGAACAGTTTCTACCCACACCGTTCACTTGCTGTTTTTTGCCTCTTTCAGTTGGCAGGATGTCAACGAGCACATTGCACATGCTCCGAATGTATTCAGAATGAGTCATTTGTGACTTTTCTAGATTCGTCGCATTTTAAAACCAGAAGGGGCCAGGGTGAGCATCTCGAGACCATTATCACCTCATTTTCTCCCCAGCGTCGTGCTCCCACAGTCAATAGCCAGCATCTGATCTCTGGTGACACAGGCTCTGCAAGTCACACGGCATTGTTCCCGTTCCCAAAAATGAAAGAGTGTAAACTCACAGTTGAGCTGCTGGTGTGAATTCTCATGGGGGGGAAAAAAAATGAGAGAGAGAAAGATAGAAAACTTAACATTCACTTCCTGCCATGAGCTGGAAGTTGGATTTCTACCAGTATTTATGCCAATACAATTTTGCAGCACAAGTGGCTGTGGAAAGTGAACACAAGTAGGGGCATTTTTTAAAACAAGGTCAAAAGAAGACCCCAGTTTCCCTGCCAGCTGGTAAGTCAAAACCTACCATGATAAAGAGATATCAATGTGCATTTTCACATGCAAAATGGCGATTTCTGGCACTGTTTCATGAGGTGTATTTAAACAACACGCAACGTGTACAAGCACCCCTTGATTCTGGCTTCTGATGGCTTAGTTTGTGTCTGCGCTGCTAGAAAGCAGGTGAGAACCAAAGCAAGTCTGCACACACCCAGCCAGCTGGGCTAAATCAATTTAAAAATAACACTGCGTGTTAAAAGATTTGCGACTTAGCATGTTAGATCAGATCTCCCATTGTAGGAGACTGCCTCTTGCTAAGTGGGCACAGACCTCCCAGGGGTCTGATCTGCCTCTGGTTGCTTCCACAAACCAAAGTGACAATATTGCTAAAAGCAGCTGACGCCAGGACACCAGCGCCAGATGTCTTCCACTGACCCAGGGACAAACAAGTCCCTGTCATCTCTTCACTGTGACGCAGCACCATTTTGCCCAAGGAACTCCAGGCCACAAGATAGCATCCAAACTAAGAGCTTAGCTTCTGCAAGCAGTGCCTTTGGGGCAGGGAAGTAAAACGTGCATGCTCAAGCCGTCAACCTCAAGCCAAGACAGAAGGATGCATGCATAGGTTAAAAGAAAAAAAATCCCCTTCCCCATCAGGCACAACCTCTCTAGCTTTGCATTGAAACCCATGCACTTTGTGGGCCAGATTCTGCAGTGATCTAAGGAATCCAATGGACGGAGCAGCAGCTGAGGTATCAGCCCTCTATCTCCCTCCATCCTGACACGAAAGGAAAGAGATGACAAGTGACAGAGGAAATTTTAGCGAGATAGACTTGGGAAAGCAAAAAAGACTCCCAGTCACACAATGATGGTCTATTCTCCTGATCGTAAGGACTAATCCTCTTCGGTTTTTAATTGGCATTTGGGATAAGCTGATTTAAACCTCTTCACCTTGTTGGGTCCCCCCCCCCCCTTTCCTTTCTTTCTTCTCTCTCTCTTTTTTTTTTTTGGCCCAAATAACAACGCTGCCACCACCAAGTTCCCAGCACAATGACATCTTTGTATGAGGGAGAGAAAAGAGGAAAGAAGAAGGGGGGAGAAAAAACACGCTGAACCAACTCTAAAACAATGAGGAGTTTGTGAATCAAGCTAGGCCGCTGGCAAAGAACCTGCCTCAGCTGTGCCTCATTAATAAAAGCACTGTCTATGGTCAGACCCAGACTTCAGTCCATTCCCATCTCCCCTTCCCTTCCCACTCCCCCCACCGCCACAGCAACCTTTTACTGGGGTCAAACTCTGAAGAGCCTGCGAGAAGAAGGGCTATCCACAATTGTGGGAATCCTCTCCGCTGTCACCTTCAAATTTAACTTATTTTGGAGCTAAAAAAAACAAACCCGACAAACACCTGCTTACATGCCCTAACCTTCGGGGGGGGGTGGGGGGTGGAAACCCTGCCTGAATGCGATCCATCGGCGCTTGTACACATTACATGTTGATACTGTCCATAGTCCCTATGCCTTACTAGTAGATTATAAAGTGATTAACAGATGAGTGATCAAAGAGGTAGATTCATGCTCTTGATTGATCACTCATCTGTTAATCACTTTATAGATAGGTAGACTCATGCTCCTGACTATCTCTATATTCAGGTGCCATTCCACCGCCACAAGCATCTCCCTCTTCCACAGCAGCGTTTGCATCTGCATCTCATTGATACTGAGGCCCTTTTGACAGTAAAAAGGAACCTTAAAAGTCATCTAAGTTGTGACTTACATCCACTTTCAAAGCACTTTCTGCTGCCAGAGGGGTGTAACTGGTCCTCAGTGAAAACAGGAATCGGGTGCCTTTATTTCTTCAAAGAGAAAAATGATTCTTTCTGCCCATTACCAACCCTTTCAGTTCAACTGGCTCATATTTGGGGAGGCTTTCTTAGCACCTCAGCTCCTGGACTTGAGTTATTGGCGGGGGGTCTCTTTTTTTTTCCTCTCCCATGAAATGCAAGTTTCAAGTCCAGGTTGTCATGGAGAAAGACTCAAAATCTTGCCATGAATTCACCTTAAAGGCACAGAAGCTACAAGGAAGGAAGGGTGGAAAGCCCCACGACTTATGACTTTAAAAATCTCATGTCTGCCAGTCCAGTCTCATGACTTTTCAAGCATCAGGATTAAACAGTGCAGAAATACAGAAGACAGGCAGGAGATGGAAAGGAAAGAGGCACAGACAGCAGAAAGATGCAGTTTGGCATGTTGAACGGGAAGTCAATTAGAAGGCAGAAATGACGTGCTCCTTTATAGACTGCCAGGCTGTGATCCCAGGACCTTCAAATCCCACTCGCTCTCTCACATAAGCTTTCGGTAACCGCTGCACCTGTTTCATAGGTGGGAAAGCCTGCACACAGTGGGACTGATTCTCCTACCATGGGATGGCGCTTCCCTTGGCTGAATCCCAAACTCCATTGCTGAATCCCCAGCTGCTCTGAAACAAATTAGTTTCCACTGCCCCACAGCCCAGGAGGGTTGTACCGATAAATTAATGACAAAGGTGGTCACGTAATGCTGTACTTGGCTATGTAGAAGAGAGACTTTCAAGCAGGTATAAACTACAGGCCCATCCACTTTGAGGCCCCTTCCCACTTGGGGCCTGAGTGGAAACAAGAATCTAGCGTAGCAGGATGGAGAGATCATAATGCAGTCCAAGCCCCAAGAGCCATGGGAACAAGACACCTAAAAACCTTTGGGTGGGCTGGCCCACATAAACAGCAGGGATGGAAACAAAGCCCAGCAGACCCGGTACCTAATCCCTGCTCTAGATACATTGGCAACATAAAACATAACTGTGGGAGCTTGTATTCTTACAACCTGGTCTTATACCCAGTCCATAAATACAAGGCTTAGAAGAACTCATACTCTCTACATCATGACTGCATGCCTCTGATAGAGACATGCCCTGGCTTTGAGAGCTTATAGATCCTTTCCAAAGCAATCCACTTACCAGGGGATTCCAGATGAGCTTCCCCAGGTCCGCAGATGGCTTGAGCAGAGTATCGCCTTAAAAACAGGACCCACGCTTGATCCTAAGAGAGAAAGAGAGGAAACCTTGTGTGTGTTAGATGGCCACGGCCAATCCAGGGGTACTGTGGAAGTTGGGGAGGAAGTCTGCGGTTCTGCACCGGTTGTCAATGACTTTGCAAAGAACAAGGCAAGGGGAAATCAGGCCCTCACGTGTTCACTTGATCCTGTGGCTGCTTGCATCAGGATGCACAGATCCAAGCAGGGTCTAGAGATAAATGCTCATCACTGTGAGCTGCCTGTCTGCTGTTCCTGCTGGGAGATTTATCCCCAGAAAACCCCAATGCGGCAGAGAACTGTTTTTATCCCTCGGAGAGGCAAATTGCAAAAAAAAAAAACCCAACCAAAACATTGCCAGCCAAGTGGATCAGCTCTGGAACAAGCTTCCAGAAGTAAATGGGTGAACCTGGAGTCTTCTAGGGCACACGGTACAACCTTCCTGCTTGGCTCAGCTGCTAACAATATCAGCTGCTGCTTACTCCCCTTCCTCACCACAAACCGCAGCCTGACCCCAGGCACGGCACCCCATAGCACATTAAGGGACGCTGGCTAATTTGCCACCACCGATCTACTTCACATGGAAGGCGTTCAGATGCTCTGGGGACAGGTGGCAGTACCAAGGGCTAAAACAAAGGTGAATGAGGACAAAGCATTCCCTGCGCCCTGCTCAGATTCACAAAGGCCCCATTTCCAGGCTTGCGATTTCAACTATAGCATCATCCTCCCCCCACCCCACAAAACCAGCCCTGAATGAGGATCTGAGAACATAAATGCTGTAGCATCCCGATATTAAAAAAAAAAAAGTCAGCAGCAGCCACAATGACAGAGCTGATAATCCTCTTTCCATGAAAAAGTAAACACAGCAAACCACCATTCCCATCACGTTAGCAGAGCAGCCATTCTTCCTCTCATTCGCATGTGGCAGGTCTCCTCTCCCTGATCCCACAATAGGAGAGGGACTTGCTGAGAAGCAAGAAAAAAAAAAAAAAAAAAAAAAAAAGCGGG